CTATAGTAGATTTGTTTTTATCCAAATCCCCTGTATAGTCAGAATCAACATATCCATTGATAAGTAAGTTTGATCATCCGTAACATAATGCAACATCTGAGGTCCCTTTGATGTATCTCAAAATCCACTTTACTGTATTCCAATGCTTCTTACCTGGATTCACCATGTACCGACTAACCACTCCCACTACTTATGCAATGTCTGGTCTTGTGTATATCATACCGAACATTAAACTTCCCACTGCCAATGCATACGGCACTTGAGACATCTACTTCTTTTTGTTCTTCACTGCTAGGACTCATATTGGAGGATAATTTGAAGTTAATAAGAAGATGGGTAAAAATTGGCTTACAATCTTGCATGTTGAATCGTGACAAGATCTTCTTTAAGTAATTCTTTTGTGAAAGACAAATCTTCTTATTACTTATGTCTCGGTGAATTTGCATCCCCAGAATCTTGTTTGTTGATCCTAAGTCCTTCCTTTCAAATTCCCTAGCTAGTTGTGGCTTTAATTCTTCAATATGATCTTTGTTGGGTCCTGCAACCAATATGTCATCTACATACAACAACAATATAACAAAATCATTATCACCAAACCTCTTGAAATAAGCACAAGGTTATGCATTAAGTCTGTTGTATCCAAGACACATAATGAAGGAATCAAATCTCTTATACCAACACTTTGTCACCTTCTTTAGACCTTACATAGATTTGTTCAACCTGCAAACCAAGTTCTTCTTTTCTTTTTCTTCAAAACCTTCAGGCTAGAGCATGCAATTCTCTTCTTCAAGATTTCCATGAAGAAAATTTGTTTTAACATCTAGTTGTAAATTCAATGTAGCATACATTTCCAAGACTACTCGATCTGTTGTTAGTTGAACCACAGGAGAAAAGATTTCATTTAAAACAATACCTTACTTTTGAGCATATCCTTTGACCACCAGTCTTGCACGATACCTCTCCACTTGATTGTTACCATTTCGCTTGATTTTGAAGACCCATTTGTTACCAATTAGCTTCCTTCATTGTGGTAGTGGCATAATGTCACATGTATTATTTTTATGAAGGGCTTCAATTTCTTGTTGCATTGCCATCATCCACAATGAAGCATCTGAGCTGTTTATTACCTCCTGGTATATTGATGGCTCACCGTCCTCTGTTAAAAGACAGTATACAATATTTCTTTCTATAACATAATCTGAGTGCCAATTGGGATGTCTTTTCATACGATCTGATTTACGAGTTTTTGGAGCTTCAGATCTCTCTATTCTTGTTCATCATATGCTGGTTCTTCTTCAGAAGAATCTCCTTGTTCGAACTTCTTTTCCACATGTATCTGTGTAGTCTCTGACTTTTCATTACTACTATCTTCTTCTTTTCTTTGTAGTTTATCTTCTATAAAGATAACATCCCTTTTGATGATCACTTTACGGGCAGTGGGATCCCACAAGCGATATCCCTTTACTCCATCAGCATACCCCAAGAATTTGCATTTCCTGGATTTTGGATCCAACTTTGAAATTTCTTGGGAGTTGTACATCACGTACACAATACTTCTAAATACATGGAGGCTTGAATAATCAGCTGGTTTACCAGTCCACATCTCCGTTGGTGTCTTCAGCTCTATTGCAGTTGATAGAGCTCAATCACCAAATAACAAGCGATATTGACTGCTTCTGCCCAAAATGATTTTTCTAGACCTACAACCCTCAATATTGCTCTTGTTCTTTCTAACAAGGTTCTGTTCATCCACTCTGCCACTCCATTTTGTTGAGGAGTGTTCGCCACTATGAACTGTCTTTTGATGCATTCTTTCCTGTAAAATTCATCAAATTCTTCAGTTGTGTATTCTCATCCATTATCTGTTCGGAAACACTTGATCTTATTTCCAGAATCAAGTTTCACCCGTGCTTTGAAGTTTTTGAAAGTTGAAAACCCATCTGACTTCTTCTTAATAGGATACACCCAACATCTTCTGGAGTAGTCATCAATAAATGAGACAAAGTACTTTGCTCTGCCTAGGGATGTAACTGGTGCTTGCCATATGTCAAAATGAACCAATTCTATAACACTTTTGCCTTTAGAATTTGACGTGTTGAATTTCAACCGGTGTTGCTTACTTGTTATACAATGCTCACACAAAGTAAATGATACCTTTGTTAAGCCTGGAAGTAGCTTTTGCTCCACAAGGACTTTCATTCCTTTTTCTGACATGTATCCAAGTTTCTGATATCATAGCATTGCAGAATCTGAACTACATGAGGCAATAGAGGCTTCTGCTTCTAGCAAAGTCTCTCCCTTCAGCATGTACAAGTTTCTTGTTATCTTTTCGCCTTTCATCACCACAAGCGCTCTACGAAACACCTTCATGATTTCTTTCCGTGTTTCAATCTTGCTTGCATTATTATCCAACAATCCATAGGATAATAAGTTTTTCTTCAGGCCTTTCACGTGCCGCACATCTCGAACAACTTTAATTGTTCCATCATACATCTTCAATTTGACGGTTCCAACGCCAACGATCTCTAAGGCATGATGATTGCAACTATACACAGATCCTCATGAGATATGTTCATAATGATGGAACCATTCTCTTCTAGAGGTCATGTGATATGTTTCTCCTGAATTAATGAACCATATATCTGCAAATCTTTTTCTACCTTCCACAGTGATGCTTCACAACATAGAACATCTCCATCATCTAAAGTGTTTGCGGTATTGCCTTGTGGATTGAAGTTTTTATCTAGACTCCAACAATCATTCTTCAAGTTTCTTTCCAAAGTTGTAGCACTTTAAATTCTTCTTGCTTCTCGACTTTGATCTACCATTTTGTGACTGCTGCTTTGGTCACGTTCTGTTGATCTCCCTTTCACCGTTGTCAGCGTTTCTGCTTATTGCATATTTACTTGTCTGTCTTCCTTGTTCTTGCGCCTATTTTCTTCTTGTAGAACAGCAGTTGTAACGTCATCGAAGACTAGACTGGTGACATTACTGTTTTCCAAGTTGATGATGAGTTGATCATGCGAATCAGGTAGACTTTGAAGTAGAAGTTCAACACATTCTTGTTCTCCTACTGTATAGCTTAAGGATGTAAGCTGAGAAAATAAAGTGTTCAATGTGTTTAAATGCTCCGTCACTAAAGTAGATCCTGGCATCCGGAGAGTGTACAATTTCCTCTTAAGAAAAATTTTATTGTGCAACGATGTGGCCTCGTACAGTTTGGTGAGATGATCCCATATCTCCTTAGCTGTCTTCTTCTCCTCAATGCTTGACAATACTTTATCTGCTAATGCTAGATGAAAGTTTTCCGTAGCATTCCCGTCTATCTCGTTCTATTTGCTATCATCTGTGAAATCTACCGACCTTTCATTGATAGTCGCTAGACAACTTTCTTTCCTCAGGATGACATTCATCTTCAATTTCCACAATGAGAAATTTCTCCCATTGAACTTTTCAATATCAAATTTCGTTTACATAGCTTCTATTACATATAGCTCTCACTAATTCACTATCATGAACAGTTCTTTGGAACCTTCAAAGAATGAGTAATAACTTCTTACTTTCTTATATTGGAGGATCGACCTTTTGGTGGCAACCACATAGACAATAAGTAGATATTACACACTCAAATCTGACTCTGATACTAATTGTTGAGGAATACAACTATCGGATAGAGAAAAATCGCAACTGATAATTTGATAAAATAAAGATGAAGATAAAGAAGACACAAATTTTACGTGAAAAACCCCTAAATAATATAGGGTAAAACCACAGGCAAAGATAGAAGAATTTCACTATGAGAAAATAGAAATTACAACTTCTCTCGATCTAACAAGGAGAAAACAATAACAATTCTCTCTTGATAAAAAGAAGAAAACAATTCTCAAGAAAACTCTCTAAATTCTTTAGTATTGGGAGAAAACTAGAATGATTTGGGATGGTTTTGAAGCTAAATGGATTAGGGTATTTATAATTAAAGCTTAAGGACTAATCTTATAAATATCCTAAAGTATAGGAACTAGATGAGCAATTTTCTCATTCTACTTTTCAACCAAATCATGCTACCAACTTTCAACTAAAATACGCTGCCAATTTGGACCACCGAATTCACTCACTTTGCAGCTGCCAAATTTTGACTTGGATTTTCAACAATTGGAGCATCATAGACTATATTTGATGGAATTTCAACATTTTTTGAGGCAATGAATATCCTCATAAATGCTTTGAAAGGTATGCAGATTCTGACGGGTTTCATTAGATATTTGGAGTTGTTCATTTAATTCCTCTTGAGTTATTTAGATTTTTTGTTTTTACCTGTTATGACTGTAGCTCATGCAAGAACCACGTGGTTATCATGTTAATGAAATTCCGACAATATTCTTGTCAATCCTGATAATGAATTAAAACATCTTGAGAAGGGGAATAATATAGTTTGAATTTACGTGACCCAATAACGAATTTTGGGTGATAAGAAACAGAAAAACTAAAGAGTTGTATGCTAAATCTATGGAGTATTTTCCAATAAAATATACATCATGTTTACATATATGAAAAAAAGATTTAGTGATCTAATTATAATAAGTTAATAATAGAAGTGGTAAAAACATTTAGTTTTGAAATTCAGTGATCAAAAGTAAGGAATATGGTAATTTATGTCCCAATTTTAGAAAGGTTTGTTGTTTATTGCGTAGCCGAAACCGAAAGAGTGTAGGAATCTAGTCTCGTATTTTGCGCACTCGAAGTGGAACTGAAAAGAATCGATTTGAAAAAGGTCAGAAAAGAAATGTGGACTTTGTGTGTGCAATGATAGATGAATCCATTTCGATTCTCCCAAGAAAATATTCCCCACCATCACAATCTTCCCGCTCGAAATTTCTCCAAATCAACCAAATTCACTCGTTTCATATCTCTGTTTTCTTTACTTTTGCACACACAAATTAACCATCTTCCGCTTCTCTGACATAACTGAAGCCTTGCCCGGAAAATGATATCCCGGCGGCAATCACGTGCTGAGGATCTGGTTTCCCTTGAAAATCCCGACGCCTGAATTTTTTATGATTACGGTTTATCAGAGGACATTCCTGTCCCTGGTGGCGATCTTCACTCACTTGACCCCTCAGTCCCAATCTGGTCCTCTACTCCTCTCAGGTTCCTCTTTCTTCATTGCTTATGAATTCTAAGTTGGTACGGAATTCAATGGTAGATGTAAATCTCATGTTTGATAAGCTGAACTTCCAAGTCGGCTGAAGTTCTAAGTAGGGGTGTATTCGGTCGGTTCAGTTTTTACTAAAAATTAAACCGAATCGAAATAAACGGTTTTTTAAAATTTAAACCAAAATCGAATGGTTAAAAAATCGAATTATGTGAAATCGATTTTTTCGGTTCGGTTGGATAATGCAATTTTTTTCGGTTCGGTTCAGTTTGTCGGTTTTTCAATTAAAAAATCACTCGAAGCTATAAATTCAAAAAAAATTATCTATTCGGTTCAATATGGAACAAGTGGATTCCATATGAAAAACCTGAACCGAACCAAATCAATAGAATTAATTCTTTAAATCAACCCGAAACCAAACCGTTTAAAGATAAACCCGCAACCATGGTCCCAGCTGCTCCTTTAAGCTAGGCCATGTTAATTGCTCATTAACCTTTCTTAATATATCTGCAGTGTTGAATTTACTGATTTGTTTGGGAATTCAGACAATCTTAATGGGACAGGCTCCCGAAAACGGTACGCAGCTACTTAAGCATTACTTTTTTTTTTTGTATTCGATTTCTCTATTTCCATACTGCAGTTTCTTGTTTGCTTTAGAAATCTCTTCACTATTATATCTCAGGATGAGGTCTGGATCATGCGGTGCATCTGGGTCAAAAGCTTGCAGAGAAAAGATGCGAAGGGATAAGCTAAATGAAAGGCATGCTTTTGTTGTCCCTTATTTCTCTCACTTAACTCACTTTGCCTCCTCTGATGTTTGTATTTCAACGTCTCAAGGTTCCTAGAATTGGGTTCTATTCTAGATCCTGGAAGGTCTTCCAAAATGGAGAAGGCTGTAATATTGGTTGACGCAGTTAGGATGCTTACTCAGTTGCGGGATGAAGCCCAGAAACTGAGGGAATCAAATGAGAGTCTGCTGGAGAAGATTAATGAACTTAAGGTGAGAGCTTGTGAGTTGGGACAAGTGTTGCATGTTAAAAAATTTACTTGATGCATCAGTATTGCTTAAAATTTACAGGTGGTTTGAATGTTTTATTGTTTCTTGGTTATGCTGAGTGGAGTTCTCTTTTGTAGGCTGAAAAGAATGAACTTCGCGATGAGAAGCAGAGGCTAAAGGCCGAGAAAGATGATCTCGAGCGGCAAGTAAAGGCATTAGGTTCTCAGCCAGGATTTGTCCCTCAAGCTCCTGCTATTCCAACTCCATTTTCTACCCCAAACCAAGTTGTTGGTGCCAAGCTGGTGCCATTCGTTGGCTATCCCGGAGTTTCCATGTGGCAATTCTTGCCTCCTGCTGCTGTTGATACATCACAGGATCATATTCTCCGCCCTCCTGTCGCATAAGCTGGCAGCCTGTTATTTTGAGGTTGCCTTCCTTGGCACAAAGAATCATTGTTCATAATTATATTTGCAATCGATGCTTCTCATTTTAGCCTCTACTTTTTAGTTTTTTACTCCCCTTCTTTGAAAGAGTATGAGAAGTGAGAACTGAAACCAATGTTTGAAGCTACATTGATTTACTCAGACAACTTCCGATTTATTTACGACTAAACTTTGGTCAACTATTGTTGCCAAATATTTGAACCTAGGTATCCTAAAAGTTGGAAAGGATTGATTACAAATGAGTTAAGCAGCTTGTGTTTACTGAAATCAAGTAAAATCAGCTTAGTTGCTGCAATCATTGATAGCATCAGTCATTTGATGACGTCGGCTTCTGATATTCCTTGAAAAAGTTTACTCTTAAACAAAGTTCACAAATTTTGATTTTAACAAGGTAGTTTGAATCCCATATAATTTCCTGATGAGTAGTCGTCCCAAACATCAAGAGCTCCATAGCTAGTCATCAAAATGGCACTCAGAGCCATCACTACACCAACCGAGAACACGATTAGGGAAGCCCTTCCGAGCCGTTTTATGGTCTTCTGCACCACCACCAATCCAAGAAGCGATGCGACAAAACAAATGACGGAGAACACAAGGGCAGTGCCAATGTGGTCCATGCCCAACAATAAGTACTGGAATGCTGACATTGTGGATGAGAAGAAAACCATGAAAGAACAAGTAGCTGCAGTTACCTGTAGCAAATGGCTAAAATCATTGGTTTTTGGCTTTTGTCATAGATAAGACTATGTAACTCTATAATGGTTAAAACTGGGACAAGTGACCGGCATACTTGCCTCAGGGGCTAGACCAACTTGAAGTAGAAGCGGGCTTATAAGCATTCCCCCTCCAATTCCAAAAAGACCACCCAAGCCTCCAGCCATTAGAGCCATTAAGGGGAAAATTAGCTTCTTAACCCCCTTCACAAATAAAGGAGAAAAAAGGGTTAATTTTTAATTAGGTCTGAAGCAGGAAGCTAATTTTGTAAATAGATTTTGTTAAGCACCTGCTTATTTGGAGCTTGGCATGCAATGGGCTCTTGTTTACGAAGGATCCATGCAGTAAAAGTTAAGGCGAGAGGGATTTGAAACAGTGAGAGAGCCCAATATTCTATTCCACAAGGCTTCAGTGGTATGACACCCTGCATGTTTCTTGAATAGTTATAAACATTGAAGATAATAGATATCCTCGTCATTCCATGCAATTCAAATTATTTAATAATACCGAAAATCCTCTTATTCTAATTTTATAAAATTAACGCATGGAACTTTTTCAAGAATATTCACTGCATAATTAATACAAAAAGTGGGATGATAATCTCAAAGCTACTGTCCAGGTAAGTCCAAAACAAGGCAGCTTTCACTTTGCTTCTTTATTTTTATTTTATTGGGGTGTGGCCGTGTGGGTTTGCAGTAAAGTGAAAAATAAAAAGGTGAAAAAAGACACTGGCCTATACATTACTCAATCCTGGACCATCTTCGGTTCTACCTAATTAAATTCATTTCAGATTAACACTAAGATAATCATTTAAATCCGGGTATTACAAGAGAAAGACGTACTGAAAATGAAACTGTCCAAAAGGCATGCAAAATGTATTCCAAAGAAAGATCAGGCAACCTGACAAGAAAACGTTACCTGCCCATAGCGACTCCCACGAAGGAGATTGATGATAAAGAAGGAAAACCAGATCATAATCAAGAGCACCATCTTCCATGGAAACCTATGACTTTCTTTCCTTTCCATGGAAACCAAAGGTTCTTCTAGACTCTTAGCTTCCCCACTTTCACCATTTTCCAAGTTGCCATACCCGTTTCTAGTTCCTAGATGTCGACCCGATTCCAGTTTCCAAAACTCGACCCCGGTACTACAAGTCTTAATCGTAGACCAAACAAGAAAAATGGCAAACATAATGGTGATCAGCCACTCTGGTAACACAAGGTTGCAGACTACTCCCACACTTACGCCTAATAACATGCATGGCTCCGACAAAAGTGCTATATCATAGTCAATCAACGTCTTACCCCCCGACTTGGCGCTTTTGGCTAGCAAGTTATACATAACATTCGCAATCGATCCTCCCGTGACCATTAAAGCCGAGAAACTCGTGGCGGTTTTGAGGTCTACACAACCTAGAATCGTGAGAATGGGAATGAACAACCCTCCACCACCGACACCTCCCGCACTGGATATGGAGGCAGCCATGAAGCTCAACACTCCTGCTACCACTGAAGAGGTTGATAACTTCATGTTTCCATGTGATTTCGACATCTGATGGGTACTTCTTCTCCATTGGAGAGTTCTGTTGATGAAGCTATCGATTGTGGGGTTATCTACAATGGGTTGCGTTTGTGTTGTTGCATGGGATTGGCTTTGGGTGGTGAGGAGGATGAAAATTGTAAGGGTGAGAGAAATCCATCTTAGCAAACTCTGATTCTTCATTTTTGCTAGTGGGTGATGTTGGTGTCGAAAGAAGAGTCCTATGAAACGTTCTTATACCAGGATGAGAATCGCATGGCAGTTTGTGGGGGACGGGAAAAGAACAAGGTAAAAAGCACAGGAAGTTTCCCTTCCCATAAAATAATGGCAGAAATCTCTGATGTATATTTTAACTGAAATTGAAACAAGACAAAAGAAAAATAAAACAGTTATGGCACTGGTAGGTTATATCCGCTTGTGGTTTAATACACAAAGTATGGTCCTAGTGGCTCATTCTTTTTTCAAAATTTCAATAATAATTAAGGCTAAATTCACAAAAATGCACTAATAATATGTATTAGAATGGTGCATTCTCTTAATCTTATTTATACGTGTAGTGAGTAGTGATCAGGATGGATCTAGGCGGGGATAGGTGGAGGCGGTCATCCCCTTAAAAATTTAAAATTATCATATATTTTTTAATTTTTATGTATTTTCTAGTTAAAATTTGTTTTTGTCCCCTAAAATTTTATAAATTCAAGTTCGCCCCTAATATAAAATCTTGCAACATCCCCTAGTAGTGACCGTGGATAAGGAATTCAGGTACAAAGAGACCTTGCAATTGCTTCTGAACAAGTGGATGCTGATATGGAGATGTTAATTATTTAGAAACTAGTATTTTTGGGTTATATCTATCTCAATTGCATCTAGATAATGTATTAAATCTCTTTATATTGTATATAATTAAGTTCTTGTTTGTATTTTGTTGTGCATGAGGTATTGCTGTCAAGTTGAAGGTACCATACAAAATGAAAGCATAAGAGATCTTTTATTTGGATATGGATGAGACGAAAGAAAAATGTCACTTTCATTTTAGGCTAATCAGGCTCGAGATTTATAATGTTAAAGCCCATTTGCTTTTCCCAAGTTGATTTCATGCTGTCGTCCATACATTAAAAAATAATAATAAAAATATTTGTTTTCATCGCGGAAAACACAGATTGATGTTAAACGCCTCCAAGTACACTAGCTGATATGTTCCGGAGTTGTCGGTTGATTATTGATTAACATTTTCAAACCAGATTAATTTAACCCGTGAATCCTCTAAATTTCATAGCAAAGCAGATTCTGAATAAAAACAATTATAACCAGAACCTGTAAATTCTTAAATCTCTGAGCTATGAAGATTCAGAGGTTGAAGATTGGTCATATGTAAAATCTAGCTGCAGAATATGGAGATGTTGAAGGCTGGGGGAGATTAATTGATTCGCTTCCAAGGATGAGGAAAACAGATCGCATTGCTGGCCTAAGTGCAGGGTCACCCTGAACACACAACAATGCAATGTTTATCCCATTTCAATTGGTCGGTTTCCGGTGATGTTTGGATATATCAACTACAGTGCTTTGCCTTCATTCCATAGCAGCCATGCCTGCTCAGGACCATATGTGAGTCCATAAGCAAAATAAATGTTGACAATATACTGTAGGCCCATATAAGAATTTAGAAACACACCGATTAAATTGTGTCGCGGTCGTCTTTCGGGTTGGACCCCAAATTGAGTTTCGACTTAAATAGATGGCTTAGAGTCGCCATCAATCATTTATTTTTAAAAATAAAAATTAGGTTGATCAGACACCTTCTTACATGATCTGCTTTTTACCATAAATATGTTGGATTCGGGAGTCTGTTATAGTCAAGGAAGGGTTAGCACCATTGTACTGCCCTTTCGATACTAATTTAATTTTCAGTTGTCTTAATTAAGAAAATTACAAGTTAAATTAAAAAGTAAAAAACTCGATCCAAATTACTCACCTTTAATTGATTTAAGAATACTACTAAAAGGTCAAAAAAATATTAAAAATGAAATATTGAATTGATCAAAAATATATACATGCTTAGAAATAAAAATTAACATAATGGAAAATTGAAATAAATAGAATAAAAACAAATAATACGAAAATATAAAGTAAATAAAAATAATGTAAAGAAAAAGTCAACTAAATAAAAATTAAAAAAGATCAATCGCAAAATATAAATAAAGATAAAAATTACTAAAATTAAAATAAAAAAAATAAAAAATAAAAAAAATAAAAGAACAATTATTATCGGATTAATGACTCATAAAGTGAGGTATCTTTTAAATATAATTAAATAAAACATGAAATAAATAAAGAAAATACCAAATTGAAAAATAAAATACAGTGAGGGTGAATTTTAAAAGAAAAATCAAAACTAAAATAGAATTTAAGGCGCAAAATAGGTTTTAAAAAGAAATCAGGGACCAGTTATGCAATTAGCTCCTACCCGATCAAAAACACGCGGATCCTGGGATAAAAAAGGTCGGGTTTCGGGTCGGCTATAAAGCCTAGAAATCACAAACTATTTTCATTTTTCAACCCCCTCAAAATGGATAAAAACCTTTTTTTTTCTCTGAACATGTTCATCGTGTTCTTTATTTTATGAAGAACACTCTGTCGGGGTTCATACGAACCCAGATTCTGGCCATGCGCCGCCTCGGTGGTCGCCGTGGAGTGGCACCGACCGCCATTCATCAGCGGCGAAACCAAAATTTTTTTACACCATTAGAAAGCTCTTGTTACCCTCTTTCCAAATCTTCAATTAGTTTTTACTAAAGAGCATCGTAGAGAAATAGATCTGATAAAAATCTTTCGAGAAAAAGTTCTCTTTTTTAGATCCTCAATTTTTTTTAAAATAAAACAAAACAAACCCCATAAAATCACATACAAATGAATCAAAAAAAAGAAAGGGAGTACTTTTTTTATTCCTTTTCTTTTCGACGTTTACAAATGCCTTTTCTTTGATCTCCGATCTGTTTTTGCTTTGATTTTACAACAATTTATAGCCTAGGATTTCTTTATTTTACATTTGGTTTTGTGTTTAATTAGGATAGAAATACATGTCTTTGAATCCTATAGAATCACGTTGTTGGGTTGATTTGTTGTTGTTGTTGGAAAAGTTGTTTCCCAATAGGGGATGGTTTCTTCAATTCGGTCGAACTCCACTTTGCTCGATAGTCAGTTTTGGGCCGTTGGATTTGCTGCAGATCCAACGACTCAGGATCGTGCGCGCGCATTTTCTTAAGTTGAAAACCCTAGTTTGTTGGGTCAGACAGACTCGGGTCGGGTTGGTTTGCTGGGTCCTCGGGTTGGTTTGCTGGATCAGGCCTACCACCCGGTTGGGCTCTTATGGATTTGGACTTGAACCTTGAATTTTGGACCAAAAAGAAAAAAGAAAATAAATAAATAAAAATAAAAGGAAAATAAATAAAATATATAATATTTATACTATATAATATGTAAATATATAGTTTTTTAAAAACTATATAATATATATTTTTTCAAAATATTTTCAAAAACTAAATATTATATATATGTTTTCAAAATATTTTCAAAAATTATATATTATATATATTTTCAAAATATTTTTAAAAACTATATATTATATATATTTTTAAAAACTATATATATATATATATGTTTTTAAAATGTTTTCAAAAACTATATATTGTGTATATTTTCAAAATATTTTTAAAAACTATATATTATATACATGTTTTCAAAACGTTATATTTTAGAAAACTATATATTATATATGTTTTCAAAATTTTATAAAAACTATATATTATATACTATATATATGTACTAAATAAAACCCCAGACGAAAATGAGTGACTACAGCTGCCTCTCTTTGCCCGTTATCATGTAACGAAAATAGGGCAAAGACAAAAAGACACAAATTTTTGTTCGAAATATGGGTTTGGAAACAAGCACGTTCTTGTGGGAGTTGTCGATTTCTGAGTACGAAATCCAACTCCATGTTGAAGTTGAATGTTTATCAACTATATCTGCTGTGGAGTTGAGACTTGAAGAAAAAGGACATCTCTCTGTTGTTGAGCCATAGTGCGGGTAACTCTTGAGATATCTTTGAACATGATATTCTTCCTTTTGAAGTTGAAATCGTAGCTCAAAATCGGAGGGTGGCTTCTTGTTGCCAAATCATAGTCAACCTTAGTCCCCTTCTTGACATAAAGACCTCGATTTAAAATTCCACCAAAAAGTACACCATGAGATTGATATGGCCTCGAGTTGAATGTAATCGAACTCGAAAGTTAACAGATAACTATTCTCGCCTTGAGTTAAGCTGTGCTAAGTTGGGAGATAACCCCTTGTTGTCGTAGATGACTCATTTGTTGTGACACTAGGTCAATCTGTTGGGCACAATATCATTCTTCGTGAAGTTAAAATCGTGGATGGCTCCTTCGCAGTGAAGCTGAGCTTTGAATTAGACATCCTTCATTGTGAAGTTGAAATCCAATCTTGTAAATTGCATTGTCTTGAGTTTAATTTCCTTCGTTGTGAAGTTGAAATTGACTCTAACGAGAATCTACAAAATTATGCATATATGCGATGTTATGGATGCAATGTTCTTATGTGTGCTTAAAATGCATAAGTTATTTTAGGATTTGGAGGGAAATCTTCAATCTCTGGTTGTCGGTCCTGATGACTCTTGATTTTGGAATCTTGAATTTTTGATCTTGATCTTGGATTCTTCACTATGTTTAAATTTGATACATATAATTTTATTTCTAGTCTTGGTTTGGGCAATGCCTTTCAGTTATCTCAAGTATAGTGCATAAGCCCTAATTGACTTCCGAATACCTGTACCTTTCAAGAAAATCTTTGAATAATAATACACAATTATCTTTTCAAGAGTGAATAAATCATTAAGTTTAAATTCAACCCAAGATGCTTAAAAGGAATTGACTTAGAGAAATGGCCATATTTATTTATAAGGAAAAAGGAAAAAAGTATATGACAAACATTTTGGAAAGAAATATAAGTAGATGCCTTAGATCTCGATAATGCGGGCTCCTTTGAACTGATGCGCCGTTAGATGAATTTTGAGTACAACCCTTGTCAAGGGGGCTTTGAAAATGTGACAATGTTCGGAAGTGCCACATTTCTATGAATCGTTAAGTCTGCAGAAGATTTGGATGTCATGACGCGGAACCTTTCCTGAATCCTCATCCAAATTACCCTTTCGGGTTTTCAAATTGGATCCATCATTGGTCTCAAGAAGCCATTTACGGGTTTTCATCTTGGACCCATATTTTTTTCAAATTA